ACCAATCTCTGTAGGCAACGCCATAAGTTGGAGACCAGGTGGGCCACGTCGCTTAGATTTTTGTATATCTTTCTTCTCTTCCTCCTCCTCCGTGCGATCATTTGGTGAGAGGGGCTAAATAAGTTCAAGGTGTGTAGGAGGTGTACTAATGAGGTTGTTATGACGTTCGAAAAGGGTGGAAGTCGAATGGCGGATTACAACTAAGCTGTACATTCTGTCGGTTCTCTGAGGCATTCAAAGCTTGTGTTCGCTGACGTCGAACAAAGCCAAGAGCGACTACGTTCGCCAGACCCTCTCTGAAACCCCTTTTGCGTGTTCCGACAAATTCTCCTGCTTACGAGCTGCTCATGTGAGGCGGAGTCGAGGAAGCCCAGATTTGGCAGAACAACGTTTTTAGCATTTTCTGAAGGCACTTTCTCCATTGCAGATATTTCGAGGGCGCTCGTTTGCAGCTTCAGTCATTCGACATCCTTCTGTGTGTGTACGTCTCTTCGGTAGTTCTGGAAGACGGTTGTATTCTGGTCTACCGGCGTTTGAAGAGGCTCGCGATTCTTTCGGTTACATGCCTCCCGATGGCACGGTGACAAACTTTTGTCGCTCCAGATCGTAGAAAATAATGATAGTGCATTTCGCACCCAATGAAATGAGAAGGCCTTCAGATGCCGGGGAATTTAAATTGGTATTGCCTCCAAACAGGTATTATTATTCCATTGGGATACCTCTTATTTCTTTTAAAAAAGGCAACTGGAAGGGATTCGTAGATTGGCTTCACCAGATACAGAAGAAGGGTTGCCTTGGACTTTTGTATTTTAAACTGTGCCAAAAACACCTTGGATCGTCATGCTACGACCCCAGTGACTTATTCAAAGGTCCAAGACAACCATCTTTCGGTATCAGGTAAGGTCAATCGTCGAATCCCTACCACTCGTCTTCTCAAACACATTGAGAGACATGCCAGTATCAATATACTAAAGGGTTCTTTGAAACCCATCTTCTCATATTATTATCATTCAACCAATCAAAGCGTAAAGAAATTACTCAGATAGTGCTGCCAACGACAACACTACTTTTATCCGTAATGAGTAGGCTTTCGAAAATATCAGTGGATTTA